ATCAAACAACGAGGCCTTAATCGGCATCCAGATCTGTTCGCGGAAGCCCTCGCGACACTGGCTACACGTCGTCCCTGTCGCCGGTCTAACGATGACGGGGCCCAGCCAGATCGAAACGTTCGATCTTTCGATCGTAGGAATTCGTAACGATATTCTAAATCTCGAAAGAAAGTTTCTGGCATTTAGTCGTCGTTCGAACGGAAGACTGACGGAGAGAGAAAGAGAGAAAAAAGAGTGAAGAGTTGTCGAAATTCCAGCGCGAGGCAGAGAAAAAGAAATCGAGGGTTTCCTTCGACTTCGAACGATCGTTTCGAAACAATCAAAGCGGCCATTAAACTGCTCCCTGGAAGTAGTCTCGCGGTGCACGTTGAATTCGCGGTATGTAGATGTCCCTTTCTCTCAGGAAGATACATTACACGCGCCAGGCATCCACACTCGGTCGCTTCGTCTCCTCTCTCTAAGACCCCATGCGCACGGAAATCGGTGTTAGCCGGCGAAAAGAATGCGAAATACCGCGAAGAATTCGCCGGTATTATTCACAGGAGCTGCTTGGGGAAAAATGCCCCGCATTAATCGTGCCCGGCAAGAAACTCCGGATCACCTGCTCGGTATGGCTGGTACACGCTATATTTCCATATACGAGCGCAGCGGGGCAACATGCAGCTGCCACGATCTGAACTTCCTCAGATGAGATCAACCGCTTGCACCAGCCACACCGTCGCGTTTTTCTTCTTCCTATAGTACACTAATATATCAATATAATATATTTCTTATAGTACAGTCTCTTCTGATAGTACAGTAATATATCAATATAATATATTAATATAGTATAGTACTAATATACTATAACTGTATATTAATGTATATAGTACAGTATTAATATAAATTATACAGTGTGTATTAATATGATATATGAATATAGTGTAGTATTAATATATCATAGTAAGTGAATGTTAATATAATATATTAATATAGTACAGTTATATATAGTGAGTGTATATTAATATAATATATTAATATAGTACAGTATTAATATAATTATATAGTAAGTGTATATTAATATAATATATGAATATAGTATAGTATTAATATAATTATATAGTAATTGTATATTAATTTAATATATTAATATAGTACAGTATTAATATAATTATACAGTAAGTGTATATTGATATAATATATTAATATAGCATAGTATTAATATACCACAGTAAGTAAATGTTAATATAATATATTAATATAGTACAGTATTAATATATTATAGTAAGTCTATATTCATATAATATATGAATATAGTATAGTATTAATATACCATAGTAAGTGTCTATTCATATAATATATGAATATAGTATAGCATTAATATAATTATACAGTAAGTGTATATTAGTTTAATATATTAATACAGTATTAATATAATTGCACAGTAAGTGTATATTAATATAGCATAGTGTTAATATACCATAGTAAGTGAATG